ATGGAGAAGTTACATAAACGATGCCTGAATAAAATCTAGTCATTCTAAATTTAGAACTTCCATTGCATTCCGGTTTTGTAATCCTTACTAATTTCGAGGTATTTTGTTCAGGATAAACCTGTTGTTAAAAATTGAAGTACATAATTTAGCGAAAATCTTGTCGCCGAAACAGTCCGACATGTAGAATCTATAAGTATATTCCACAACTCGGCATTCCGATTTATTTGTGTAGTATTCGGTAATCGACATCGCTAAAAATAACATTTCCATTGATTTAAATCAAATTCATCCGCGTAATTTGTGATTGTGCATTTATTGACATTTCTATAAGACAACGCTACTTTTAAACTTTGAATGCGTTGTAATTTGTTGGATACTTGTAACAAAATAAAAATATTTCTCTCTTTTAAATCGCTAGTTTTAATTAAGCTGTTTTGAGAACTACTTGTTGTTAGGTTTGTCGTGAAATTCTGTGTCAGCGTTGTATTTACTGACCTTCGGTCAGAAAATACAAAAATGCTTTCACTGATGCCTACCTGGTAAGGAAAGTTATTCCATTGAATACAAACAAGACTTACAAGACTTGTAAATGTTATGTGACATTACTGTACTGTGTTCTGTTTGTGTCACTACTGTAGTCATGCAGTTACAGAAGATGATAAAAATATCAAAGTTTGTTATAATTGTAACAAATATACAAATAGTAACAAAAGGGACTAATATTTTAATATAGTAATATTACATGCATTTTTTTCATGTCAAATTAAAAAAAATGGTTTCTTTCAATACTGAAAGTAGAACACACTCTGGAATGAAAAAATAGGATGAATTTCAAAAAGACCAAATTCAGGATTTTTTTTGTTTGTTATACACGCGTTACATAGTGATACAGTATTTATCAATATAATAGAAGACTGTTACCTTAATTTTAGGTAGGTATGAGGAAATTCACTAACGTCATTTTCGTGCGAGACAAAGATATGAAAGCTATTTGACATTGGTAATACATTGTGTATATAAAAAAACTATTGTTAATTAATTTATTGGGAGATCAATATATATTTTTTGTTGAATTGCTTTAAAACCATTCATAAAAAACATCACACTTAATGTTCAGACTGCAGATCAAAGTTTCTGTAGTTGTCATGATATCTATCGGGTCCATCCGCTCGTAAGGCTACAAAATGCAGCTTTCGCTGTTGAGTACGGACCCCCAACAAGTCATCAGTCATACCATTAACTTTTTTTCTGTTTCACAAAGTGGAATGCTGTACCAATGACGCTAATGATATGTAACTTTATATACTAAAGTTTAATTATTTCAAAACAACCAATATATCAACATGTTATTATTAAACATTTAATTTCATAAATATAAATTTAAAATAATTATCAAAAGCAAAATTGTTAAAATCTTATGCCTGAAATTTTTTTTATATTGACAAATTCAATCACTAATAGTATACTTGATATGCTGTGTGTAAATATAATTCAAAATGTAACAAATTATAATTTCATGTACTACTAAAAAAGGGAAATAACAAATTTATAAAATCAGCATTATAGCTTTCGAATTTATGTAACAGCAGAACTGCTTTCTGGTTCTCATTCGTTACTATGACATGCTGCGAATCACCAACGGGGAAACCAATATAGAAATCGAAAGGAGTTCTTGAATGCGGATTAGCTGTAAATCGAAAGGATTTATTGCTCAAATCCGGGCCCATGGACAAAAACAATAGTAAACACAAATAGCTCCGCGCCTGTGGGCGCGGAGCAATAAGAGGTATAAACAAGAAAACTTCATAGGTAGATAGATCTCATTGGGTAAAAATGCAGTGTAAAAGTACGGGTGTAACGTCCGTGTTTGATCGTATAAACGACCGTACATGACCGTATGAGACCGTATGAGACCGTATATACAACGCATTTGAAGTCTTCCCAAGAGTGAGCCCAACCGTGCCAAGATCGTATATAAATCGTATGAAATCGTTCGAGACCGTCCCCAAATCCTACATCCGAATGTCACACGATCACGGTAAGATTCACACGAGTGCACACACGGTTTCATATGATCATACGATTCAAGTGTTTGTTTTTTCTTACTTTTTTTAGGAAGGACCAGTTTTGTATTCCCTGATAGTAATCACCCCGTTCGTCCTTTTCTTTGGTTGCGTTCATTGAACCGCCCTTACTTTTTGATCTTGTTGTTGTTTTTTTTGGTTTATTTTCATTTTTTGTTGCTGTTGTTGATTTTTCATATTTATTTCTTGATGCAGCTTTCCATAAATATTTTGTAAATTGTTTTATTCAGATATATTCAAGTTTAAATATCTCGATAAAAAAAAATTCTACTCAAAGATATCTTTAACAAAATGGAAATTGACGTTAATATTTCTATTTAAATAAACAAAGGATTTATCAGTGCTGGTACAGAGATGATATACTTTAAAACATTTGATATAGATTTTAATGACTATTCTACACCACGGCTTTAAAGCTGATTACATGTACTTTTCTCCGATTCAAATGTGTTGATAAGAAATCAAACCGTAACAGGATATACCAATTAAACAAAGATGGGTGTATATAAAATGGTTTAAAAGATTACTCCTGATAACGAATAAGCATAAGGAACAACAACCAATGTTGTCTAAACTTCCACCCCCATACAAAGAAAGTATTAAAACAATAAATCATGCTCAAAGATCAATTAAGAATAACTAGAAAATGACGATTGCTTCAGACAATCATACTTTTAACGGCTCGTGACTTTTTTGCAGAAAGGAGGAAAGTTCTATTTCACTATGACACTAACACATTAGACACTTTGTGGGTGAAAACTTTGTTTTAGTTAGGTGTAAGACTAAAACAGGTCAACACAAAGAAAAACATAAATATACGCAATGACTGTGAAATTTGAGAAGACGCTGACCATTTTAATAAAATTATGGGACCTCTTTTAGTTATATTTGAAAGAGATACAAAATCAGTCATGTTTCTAGCTAGCAAAGACAGAGAGATAGTTCATTTTTTCAGAATGTATACATTTCTTGTCAAATATTCAATAGAAAATATTAGTGTAATGGTCAAATGAGCCGCGTCATGACAAAACCAACATAGTGCGTTTGCGACCAGCATGGATCCAGACCAGCCTGCGCATCCGCGCAGTCTGATCAGGATCCATGCTGTTCGCTTACAAACCCTATTACAAGAAGAGAAACTGATAGCGAACAGCATGGATCCTGATCAGACTGCGCGGATGCGCAGGCTGGTCTGGATCCATGCTGGTCGCAAACCCATTACGTTGGTTTTGTCATGACGTGCGTGACTCAAATAGGGAGATCATTTAGACTTAGCAGCATAGTGCGTTTGCGACCAGTCCGCGCAGTCTGATCAGGATCCATGCTGTTCGCTTACAAACCCTATTACAAGTAGAGAAACTGATAGCGAACAGCATGGTTCCTAATCAGACTGCGCGGATGCGCAGGCTGGTCTGGATCCATGCTGGTCGCAAACACATTACGTTGGTTTTGTCATGACGCGGCTCAAATAGGGAGATCATTTAGACTTAGCAGGACTGAGAGCTGCTTGTAGCTCATTATATAACTGTAAAATGTTTAAATTCCGTTTTGATTTGCTTTATAAATATTAGGAGCGTATCTTGGTCAAAGTTTATGTTTAGGGTTTTGGAGAGGGACCTAAAAGTGCGTTTTGGCGTATATCAATAGATTATTTGAAATGTCAGGTACGTATTACTTTTTTTAAGTTTCTTGGGAAAAAATGGTACAGGGCCTATAGATTACACGAACAATCCCATACATGTATTTTTATGGATAGACATATAAATGGCAAAGATTTTCATCAAGTACACATCTATCGCCTTTAAAACGTGCCAAAACAGTACGGGATTTAATGAAAGCGGAAAATGTCTTTGGCTGGGAAACGTGCCGTGACTGATACTGTTTTGAATTATGCTATTAATACAAATACAGTAGGTTAACGGTAAAACATGGTTGTTGCTTTAGATATTGAACTAGGGAGCACCTTCGTCGACAATTTAAACAAAACGAAAGGCTGTGATCAGTCTATACAATATTAGCTTTACTGCAAGTGAAACATGATCGAAATCTATAGAATATAGTATTTATTTCGTTTATTTATTTCTTCTGAAGTATCAGCATGGCAAAGCAGTTCGGTAACTGATGTATTTTGTAATATTTCAATTATTGTGTGACATTCACAGGCGTCCAGGGCTATGAAAGCAAATCGATTTAATATCATGTCAATAACTGATTATTACCTGGCGACGATGCATTGTTAATTCAAACAAGTAAAATATTTATAATTCTCAAAGTGAGAACAACTCGTGAATATTACATTCATGAATTAATAACAAAACAACATCAAAGTGACTCCACTGAGGATATTTGACATGACAGGACTGGAAATTTTTTTTTTCGAAATTAATGTTCCATTTGATATAGGTCTAGACCGTTAACTTGTGTGCAAATTTCAGATCATTCGCTCGTTTTGTTTTTCCACAAAAAAATATTCTAACTGGATTTTTTTTCAATTATACGCTTTTCAATCAAACCGACCGAAAAACAGCACAAATTACGATTTCAGGTATATTTCTAAGTACTTTTCTTAATTTAATTTCCTTTGGGATATCTTTATGTTAAAAGCGGCCCAGCTGATTCATGTAAGAATGCTCCTTTTTTAGCTTTAGGTTTTAGGACCTCAGTTAACTTAAACACATGCAAATCCTCCTATATGCATATGTACAGATATAGTGTGTTTTAGCAAGAAGGAAAATAAAATATGAGGCTTCGGAATAAAAAAAAGAACATAGTATCATGCCGAGCACATTCGAAATTTTTGGCCATTTCATGTGAGTGGACAATTGCAACGCTTTCCACTCAAATCGAGCTACGAAATAACACAAAATTTCATACGTGAAGAATACAATTACAAAATTATATTGTCAATTAATTTATTGAGGAGGCAAAATAGCATCAAGCGAAATGGAAAGAGTATTTTAATTCGCAACTTGTATTTTGATCTGAGTGTATTTTCTATAACATGGTCTTAATAAGACGCTGTAATTATCTAATTAAGATCTAATGGAGATTATAAGCAAATTAATCGGGATACTCTTACACTAACCTTTTTATTATACGCCTTATCAAATATGCACTATAATTTTTTCAAACATAAAGTAATTGCTTTATATGGATCACAATATTGAATACAGATTTATTTCTTCCTGTCCAACCGTGTCACTATAAATAGTACATACAGTGAATGTAGCAAACTAACAGGTACTAGAATATGATAATGAAGAAGAAATAAAAAACAAATTCAGTCTGGTCTAAGCGTCAATTTTCGAGAACACTTTTTAGTAAACGTACATAAGTAAACTTGAGACTTTCTTTTATTACTCAAATTCACATAAGCTGCGAAATAAATATTGACAATAATAATCATGCCAAGTCCACGTCATTTCACGCATCCAAGACAACGCTGCGCACTTCTCGTCCCGGTTGTCCCATGGTTGATCCTGTCCCCATTTTACGTAATGGTCAGTGAGGAGTGTCCCGTCTTCCCAGTAATATATTCCTCCAAGTGTTTTGCGCGATGCTCCTATCCAAGTGTCACTAGTATAGTCTGAAATAATATAACTGGAACATTTTAAAAATCTTTGTTAAAAACTAGTAAAAGAGTTTTTTTGAAAGGCACATATTGCCTCCAAAACAAATAAAGTTTTATATCTTTACAAAGAGCAACAATGAATTTTATAATGTATAAAAAATACTTAATAGAGCATGTTAGATGTTTGTTACCTGGAAAAAGTATGGGAAAAACAATGACGGGCAATAAAAGAAAATGCACCAGAAAGGGAATAAACACGATACATTAGAACAGATATAAACGCGATGCAATAGAAAATGACTGGGATTGGAATATACACGATACATTAGAACAGATATTTATAAATACGGGCACGATACATTAGAATGAAAATAAACACGATATTTTAAGACAAATGTGAACGCGATATTCTAGAACAAGACTGAACGCGATACATTAAAAATGATTTAGACTTATCACTATTTAGAACAGTAAATATAATTCTTTGTTTTGGTCTTTTAGTCGACCCAACACTACTAAATATATATATATACGACGGCATTTGGAGGTTCTTTTAAGTATCAGGATTCATGCTGTTCGTTATCAGTTTCTCTACATGTACTTGTAATAGTGTTTGTAAGCGAACAACATGGATCCTGATCACACTGCGCGGATTCCAGGCAGGCTGGTCTGGACCCATGCTGGTCGCACCCAGCAAACACCCGACGTTGACACAACGTTGGATCAACGTTGAATTTTGGTCGCGACGTCGGTGACCTTCATACAACGTTAAACCGACGTTGAATCTCCGACGTCTAACAGACGTTTCATTTTGACGTCGACTCGACGTCGGGTTTTGGTCGGTAATCTGACAATAGGTGAATTTAATTTATGAAACCAATATATATATAAATGAAAGCATAAACAGCTAGAATTTTAAATTTAAGTTTAGAAAGGGAAAATTATATATCTATTTATCCATCAAAACAATAACAGTATCACGTGGGTGGCTACGTACGATATTTGATAGGTGGCGCTCGGTAAACGGATAGTCGCAGATCAATATGAAATATATTTGCTCTATTTTCGTTTAAACAATATCTTATCTCCTCGAATTAGTCTAAGAAGTGTTTATATCATTTACAATGAAATTGTTATCATTTTTGAGGGCTTTATTTTATAGTGGTAAATAATTTAGTAAATTCGAATTGGCGACATAGGCCTATATCGGATTTGAAATTCAGTTGTATTGGCGGACAAAAAAACAACGAGCTGACAGACAAAGTTGAATATTCCAAACAAAATGAAAAGGTAGGCAAACATTATATATTGTTTTTCAATGCTTATTTACCGCATGTTTGCATGGATTCGATGGCTATTTGATCATTGTAATGTTTGACTGGTAAAACCTAATGTCACGTGATTTCACGAGATAAAAATTTTTGTTTCCTCGTAAGAGCACTATATTATTTACTATAGAACAGTCTGTATCATCGGATCATTTTCCCCGCACTATATCGCCAAGCCAAATAAATGCACAAACAATGGTAGGAAATATCCTAGCAATTGAAATCAATAAAAAGTTAAATGCAGTACGTTAGACTCTTATAATTTATTCAAATGCTGGTAAATAAAATTCCCTCTTATTTCTTATCAACATGAATTTCCCTTACATAAGGGGCCAGTCATTTACACATGTATCAGCTGCACAGTTTGATTTTGATATCTGTGTAGTTGTTAAACTACTCGTTGTTAATTGAAGTACTTTACCAATACTGTAAGCATACCATGTGTTTCTTATATAATGATAATGATTCATGGCATTTGATACATGTAAATGATACGACTTTGGTAAGATATATCTGAAAGCACATTGTTTCTGACTAGCTCTCTTTTTATTAATGTAATCAAACAACATATTATAAATCAGAAAACACATTATCATAGTTATAAATCAATAAAAGTAATAGTTTGTTAATTAGCCTGCTTATCAACAAGTTATATGTTCGTATCATAAAACGTTTGTACACTAAGCCAGTCTGTCCTATATACACCTAGCAGATCGGATCATGCTGGGCAGAGATGATATCTATAAAAATGACAGTAACATGTGAATTTCTTTGATGTTGTTTGAAAATTTGTATAAATTACATTGAATATAAAAATAACAATATCAATTTTTTGCGGGAGTAGAATTAATTTGGTATTTGTTATGTAAGTTTTTCATGCCCTTATGAGTTAACTAAGATTAATAGTATTTGGATTTTGCCTATTGTATTAGACAAACATCCTTCCACCACATGGTTAAATTCTAAAATGATTATATTTCGTCTTTCAGATTGTGGAAATTATGATAATTCAACATCTGGCAAAAGTTCAGGAGGAAGATGAAAGTATTAAGAGGAAAAGAAAAACGAAAACTTACCAAGATTTTGTGACAGGTATATTTCAAAATATTATAGAAAATACAGTGATCTTATTACCCTTGATTTTATATAATGAAATTCACGAAGCCATATTTTTATCAAAATCAATAGATATATAGGTACACTTAACTACATATATGGTTTGAACTAGATAGAAAATAATAAATATCTTTTTTAAGTAGTTGGAGAGTTTATCAGAATTTCGTTTAATTATAATATGTAAAAGTGATTTATTTCTTGCACTTGTAATTGATTATTTTATTTTTTTTTATTTTCAGAAAGTGTGATGAGATTTAGGTTGGAGACGGTAATGATACGCTTACAGTATGCCCCAGATCGACACAGTGGAGGAGGACGAAAGAAGATACATAAACATTGCTATTTATAATAATAACAAAATATTCAGAATATTGTTCCATTTAACATTCAGATCTAGATTCAGTTATAAAATACAAAGACAAATATACAATCAGTGAACTGGATAGATGATTGGAAAATCCCAAAATCAGGGTGATCAGTTCATGATCAGTGGTGAAATAAAAAAAAACACATGCATGGATGTTTACTATACAAAATGTCAGTGGTAATATTCAAGAAGGATTTTGTGTATCTAATTTCTAAAACATGCTTATTTAATACATAAAGCGTTATTAAAGTACTTACTTTCAAGTTTAATAGTTTCAAAAAATATTATGTAAATCTTGCATTTGTTATCGTACCACATTTCTTGTTTGGAACTTGTGATTCCGAGTATGCAAATAAATTGCTAAAATTATAAGAATGCTTATTTGTTTACCCTATTATTAAAAAAATCGTATTCCAAAAGTTTTGAATGAGGTTAAAGTCTAAATCATGGTCAGAAAATTTGGTCAGATAAGTTGGATTATGGTCAGATAATGGTCAGAAAAGGTTGGATTATGGTCAGAAAAGGTCGGATTATGTCCAAATAATGGTCAGGAAAGGTTGGATTATGGTCAGATAATGGTCAGAAAAGTTGGATTATGGTCAGAAAAGGTTGGATAAAGGTCATTATATGACGTTGTATAGACGTCGGTTTTCTGACGTCTAAAAAACTTTCAAATCCAACCTTCTGCCAACGTTTACCCAACGTCAGGGTCTAACGTCAGTACAACGTTGGTACAACGTCTTTTGTTTGCTGGGGCAAATGCATTGCGTTGGTTTTGTCGTGACGCGGCTCAAATATGATATGATATTAAAAGAGTTCACCACTGCCGAGTATTTGATCCTCTATATATATTTCTTCTTCTTCTGATGTAATGTCTGCTAAATGTCCCCCTAATGTCTGACAGTGTAACTGGAAAACAATGCCATAAAAATCATTACTGGTATGAAATTTTAATTAATTACTGTCACTGTTATATGAATATTTTATACATTGATCATGTCGATATGCTAATAGCATTGCCAATACTGAATATCTGATTTGTTAAAGAGGGGGGGGGTATTAAAACATATTAAACAGATAAGACCTCTAAATGAATTTGATGAAGTAGTTCGTGACATTCATTGCTTGGCATATTTGAGTTAAAACGTGTAAATATTTATCAGCACCCGTAGTTCTTAGAATGTTAAAAGATACGTTCTTCGAATGAAACAAATATTTGCCATGAAAATTAAACGTTTAACCTTAGCTGCAAACTTATAAACACGAGGCCGTTATATTGCAAGGCGATCAGGAAAAACTACAACAACCACAAAACTAACTGAAATATGTGTATACATTTAATATATATTAGCAATTAAAGAATCATATTCGGCTCATGCCTTGTTCTGTTTATGTATTGAAAATAGTCTTAAGCCTGTTTGACGACTTGGTGATAAACCTTTACCACCAGAATCGAGCTGTGCTATCCTTCGCATGCGTACATACTGACCTTGCTCTATACTAGACAGGTATAGTAACTCCTTTTTAAATTCCGACATTGAACTCTTTATAACTAAGAGAGAAGTAGTCCCAATTAAAAGAGGGATAGCTCCATTAAAGTTAAGGGTTACAGGGTTACAAATCGGTAAAATGTATTCGTTATTTTTGTTGTTGTTGATGTTTTGTTGTTGTTGACTTTTCTGAAAGGGTAGGGGGGGGGGCGTAACGTTGTTCAAGCCGCCCAGACACTAAAATGTCTTGTGTTGCGGTTTTCAAGGAATACCTCATGTGTTTCTCAGTGCATTATTTCTGTATTGCTTTCTCACAAGCTATTTGAAGATAGAGACCCTAACAGCTCGACCACGGACACATCATATAATCACCTTCTTTTGGTTCATCAAGACAAAACTCTGGATGTGAGTTCTCAAATCTAAGGTAAAACACGTGTTTGCGCCATACAAACAAAGATTATATTAAAACAATATTTCAAAAAATCTAGGCAATGGCAACTATATTTTTTTTAAAACGGATTGTAACTGAAAAATCTATACATGAATTCTAAATTCTATAGCCAGCCATGAAATAGTCCTACAACCCAGCATGATTTAGTAATCGTTTAAGAATTTAAAGTTAAAAAGCGATGCTTACGCTTGCATTTGTCCATGATTTCTCTTCAGTAACTAGCATGTACGCTGAAATGAAACATATACATGTTCGTGGGTAAAATCATCTCGAATACCAAAACCACCTTCATTTTATTGACATGCAAATAGCGAATGTGAATTGCTATTATTTCGCTCTTTTTCTATTTCATTTTTTGAAAGTGTATTTTACGGTAACATATGTATATAGACATTTAGCAGATCAAAACAATAATACAAGACAAAGTAAGTTATTATTGCACAAATTATGTGCATTTGTGTAAAACAGACTACATGTTTGTTTTAACGGAATGCGCGCAACGGAAATAACATGGTTGATTGAAGAAGGTATGTTGAAACGAACAGAATTGAAGATCATAAAATTATGTTTAGAGGAAAATGCACAATACGGAAGTTACAGTTTACGTTCGGTTGATGAACGAAATGCGCACAACGGAAGTGGTAGTCTACGATTGGTTGATTGAAGAAGATATGTTAAAACAGAGACATAGATAACATATGTATCTGGTTAAAACGAATGTGCTCACAACAGAAGTTACAGTTTACGCATGGTTGATTGAAGAAGGCTTTTAAACCGTTCCTTGTATGCTAATTAGAATGATATATTTAAAATATAAAAAATATATACTTATGTTTAATAGTCTGGTACGATAGATATGAATTGATCTTCTTTTTTTCCTTAGCCAGAAATGAAAAGTAGATTGAATTTAAGACCACTTAGGGAATCTCGTTTTTTGTTGTTGTTTTTTTTTTAAATCTAAAAATGACAATCTTAGTAACATAAACATTTTATTTGAGTATTGAAATAAACGTTTTATGAAAGTATTATAACGCCCCAGTAAACTCTGCTTATCTATGTAGTGCATGTATCATTACTATCCATTCTGAGAATGATTTACTCGGAACATTTTTACTCGGAACATTTTATCTTCTCCTGTCTACTTTGTATGACCGAAAGAGATGATATTGTCTGTCTTGAAATTTTTCCTGTATCAAATATTCATTTTAAAACATGACGAAAACCATTTTAAAATGCATCGATATAGATGAAAAAGGAAACCTAAAAGGTCGTCCAAAACGATAAAATTAAAACATGCTTCAAGCTTGGGAGGTTGGTTAAACAATATTCAAGAAGAGGATAGCTAAAACCACCATTTAACAATGAACAATTTCTATTTTGACACTATGAGAAGTCACCATTAATTCAATTTATATAAAAACAACTACATGATCTAGGATTATCAAACTTATTCTGCCTTGCAATTTTGCCTTACACTAAGTAACTTAAATACATCTAAAACTTACTTACCTTGACGTTTAAAGTACTGCATTCCGTCCTGAGATGGAGCCGATGAATTGGTAAGAATTGTGTCATTGCACCCTACACAGTGCATATCAGCTTCGTCGTGGAATACGCCAAAACACGACGAGCTGTCAGCACAAACTAGCAAACACTGCATTACATTCAACTTCTCTTCTTCAAAATCTTTATTCATTGCCGGACAAGTAAACCCTTCCAAATCGGTATACATTGTAAACTTTGTAAACATTATGTTACGACTGTCTATAAGTAAAACAAGGCCATGAAAAAGAAGTAAACCGATATTAAAGCAATATTTCTTCATGTTGCCCTGGCGCAAACTATCAACTAACCAGCAAAATTACCAACAAATCAATGCGCATGTCTGCAGTCGTTCAGTTGATAAAAATTGACAAGAGGGTCATGATGGCCCTTGATACCTCACCTGAGATACACTGCTAGGAAAGGTTAAATAAATCCAGTAATGAGATATCATTTTTATCCAGATTACATAACTATAAATTAAGTGATCCCCAGTGCGTGGCCTTTTAAAGTTTGGTCAAAATCTACCCAGTAGTTAAGGAGGTGATGTTGTTAAAAAAAATTGTGGACAACGACGAACGACGGACATACTACCAACACAAAAGCTCAGCTCTGGGCACTTTGTGCTCAGGTGAGCTAGTAAAACGCACCATGATTGCGAATTTCCAATAGCGTGCTTGACTGAATAGATAAACTTGAAAAAAAAACCTTCAATAGCTGTAATCACTTCAATCATGCAATAATAATGACAATATGAATTTAATTACCAGTTTCACAACATGATTTTATATGAATATTTTAGTTACCCTCTGGTATAATTGTCAACAGACCATATATGTTTTGAGCAGTTACTCTGGGCAATCTATAAACATATCAAATTTTACCGACCTATTTCTATTCATCTAGCAATTGTCACGACGCAAATGCCACTTATACGAAATCTCAATACGTGTGAAAAACGTACAAAGTACAACAATGATGCGGGCAGAACATAGCAGAACCTTTATTACTCTATAGTCCATAGTACATCATCATATAGAGCATAATTTGTGAAATCAAACAGTGCAACAATTATTAGAAAGAAAAAAACATTAATACTAGTCATAAGACATTAGTTGGTCGTTAATTAATAAGCATCAGTTAAATGATGATGCACAAATACCATGATTTTGAAATAAGATCACCATTTTGTTTTATCATTAACATGTTTTAATATTGAAATTTAAATAGACTAAGTCATATCTTTTTGTTATAAAACTGCCAATTCACTCAGCTCTATCGCTTCCATTGTTATATTGCAACAGTGCAATAAAATACAGTGTTTATACATACTCAGACTACTTACCTGTGCTTACAAAAAATATCTTTTAACGAATACTTGAATAACGTGGGAATATTCTAAGGGTTTGTGCAGTCGTTTAAGTCCGTTTTGTTACTTCATACCAGATAAAACAATCATTTCCATTGAGGATGGAAGAGACTTTAACTGGTTTTACATTCCTATAATTTTATCACCATTTTTTTGTATATGTACATATATGTACAGTAATACACTGTATCAATTCAACATAACAACAGAAACTAAACCCCCTCTCCCTTTAAGATCGTTGAGTTCTTTGAAATGTCTTGTACAGGTATTATCTTATATGATTCTTCAAAACTAAACACTTTTTTTATCAAAATCATAAATACAAAATTTTTCTTCATCGTTTCACTCTATTATTATAAATACTTTTATTACCAAGCTAACACTGGGTATAAACCTATAACCTGTAGACTAACCAATACATGTATTGTCATTTATAATTTTAAATGCAAGTCTCATCCCTTTAATAATAATGTCATAACTGTAAAATTTTAAATACAGAAATATTATATGTCTCGTCATATCCATATACTAAGATATACATGTACATGCACATAACATAAATAATTCCCAGTTTCTATTAAATGAATATGAAATCCTATTGGATGGAATTCAAAATCTAGTAGAAAGAAAACTAAAATGAATAGTATAAAAGTAAAAAAAATCTCAAATAGTCTATATCATATAAAAAAATTGAGTTGTGACTAAGCATTAAATGCTTATCTCTTATAATAACAAAAACTGTCCATCTTTAACCCTTCCATAAGACTTTACTATAAAGCAATTAACTGCATACATATATTATAAATTTCACATAGTGATTAGAAGATTCCTGTACCGTACTGAATAAACTAGAAAAATCCATATTGTTTATATACAACAAAAATAGTATGTAATACCTTAGATAGACAGAAAAGAACAATCATTTTTGTAAAATTGAGTTACTTCCCCTTAAAATAAAGAAAACTTGAAACTCAGCAAAATAATGATGACAATGTGATAGAAGTAAAGTAATAACATTGCAGAAAAACGGATAGCTTTCAAAATCTGGATAATGTTACACTTTGTAATAACTATCTGTGTTCAACATAAACGTAATATGGATAAAAAGGATAATCGTTTTCAACAGTTCCGTAACCAATCCTAATACTAAATTGCAGGTGAACGTTCTTCTTGTAGGAAAATTTCAAAAATATATATAATTTACAAATATAAATAATGCCTCTCTAGCGAAAAAGTTTTTGCATTACAGTGTATAGAACGAAACAATAAACAATCTAAAATTAAGAAAAATATGTTTAACCTTTTTCCTCATATAGACGTCTTTTGACGGTCCCCCCCCCCTCTTTTTTGAGGCCCCCAACATTGAAAAAATGTCCTATTTAGGCCCCAAACACTACTTTTCTTTGAGAAATGTTGTTAAAAAAGTGACCTTTTTTTCGGCGCCGCCCCCATCCAAATGTTACATCAGGGGGTTGCCAGAAGGGGGGATGTGCCCCTCTGTTTGGGGGGTTTGAAGAAGGCGGTAGTCCCCTTCATCGCCAAGAAAATTTTGGACATATGACATGCTAAAAATGGCTTCAGGTCGATCTTAGGGTAACTAGTAACGCACGCTGAAAAGCCTTTTGCTCTATCTCGATTCATTGAGAAGTTGCAGCACTTTGGTATCAGAATTGATGGAAAAAAACAATGCAAAAAAGTGATTTTTGTCAATTTTGAGACGTCCCCCGTTGCCATGGTAACAGGAAATTTACGACTGAGCATGCTGCTACAGAGACTATTGTCTGGTCAACATTTGTGCCAAGTTTCATCAGTATTGAAGCATTTTTCATAGTTTCATAGCAGTTTGAACTTGTTACTGTAGGCATTTCAATGAAAACGGCCATTTTCGACATAATTTTATGCTCATGGGGTAAAAGGTTTAACAGTGAAAACTATGTAATAAAAAAACTTAGATAAATAAAAAAAGGAAAAGAATACAATGTAGACCACAACGATATTCGGAATCTTGCTCTTAGTATTGCCAATAAAGCTACTGGACAAGCTGTTAAACCGAGTCTGCAATTTCATGAAAATAATATCACATGGCACATGATTTTTACATAAAGTTCTTAAACACAAATATAACAACATATTTGTTTACTTGATTTTCCGAATCAAAATAAACTAAACACAACATACATTAACTGCTTATAATAATAGCTCCTTCATTTGGCCAAAAAAGCATTCCATAAGGGAGGACGCCAGCTGTTTATTTATAAATACATGGCGCCCCGTGTCAACTTTTTTAAAAGCGGCTCAACTCGCGTGATTTCATCCGTTAATGCATGTTATCACTGCGTAAATTTATCATGTTAAAATAATGGACAAAATTACTTCGCTTACAAAATGACTGCCTATTTAAACGTATGACTATACAAAGTCTTAAAACTGCGATTTTAACGAGAACCAATGGAATCGCTTAGCTCTCTGAACTTCGCGATCGCTACTTACATAATTTTACTGTAATATATAAATTTGCTTTGTTTTTATGTGAAAGCCATGCTTTCTCAGACATACAAACGCTATTCCACATATCTGATAACTGGTTAGTCTAGGGCGCCGTCTTTAATCACGGTTACCGTATTTATTCTCCCTATTAAATGGTAATATATCGTGCATGTATGCCACACCAATCATTATATATTTCGCCAATATCAGATTGTGTACGATTTAGAAATATCTAACAAGGGGGTTAATCCATGCGCGCGCATCCTTAAAGTTCTGATACCGCGAACACTTCATCGGCCGGTATTTCGAAGAAAAACGAGTGGTGTGAAGAAATCAGAAAAGGTATGAATTCAATTTGTTTTGCAAAGAAGATATCCTAACTTCTAGTTTTTATATACAAAATGTCTTGAGGTAACTCTTTCCTGTTTTGTCAGTATTTCGCGTTGAATGCGATTTTGATTCTGGATAGTGCGTACACTCGGCGTTGAAATGTTACAGTAAATGAGCAAATATCGATTAAACTGGCCGTTTTAAACGGCTGGAAGTTATTCTGCTGTAGAATCCTTTTCAAAAATATATTTTCAACCTTCGTTCAAATTCATTTGTACTCAAAACGTATTTAAACTTACTATTTACAGAGATTTTGATATTGCGTACACTCTAAAAAATCCAGATACTGCGTACACATAACTATGCAATTGATAGAAAGTAGGTATGTGAAGTTGGCTTGTACATTGTACATCGTAGTTCAGCTTGTAATACCCCGATTACAAGCTAGTAGTTGGTTATTCAGCTTGTAGTTCGGAACAAATACATCAGCATACCTAATATTTGAATTACAAGCTAGAAGTTGGTTATTCAGCTTGTAGATCGGAACAAATACGCCAGCATACATAATATTTGAATTACAAGCTAGTAGTTGGGTATTCAGCTTGTAGTTCGGAACAAATACATCAGCATACCTAATATTTGAATTACAAGCTAGAAGTTGGTTATTCAGCTTGTAGTTCGGAACAAATACGCCAGCATACATACTATTTGAATTACAAGCTAGTAGTTGGGTATTCAGCTTGTAGTTCGGAACAAATACATCAGCATACATTATATTTGAACTACAAGCTAGTAGTTGGGTATTCAGCTTGTAGTTCGGACCGAACTACAAGATGAATACCCAACTACTAGCTCGTAATTCAAATTAAACGTATGATTGTGTATCTGGTCCGAATGAAGTGTTCGCAGTATCAGAACTTTAAGGATGCGCGCGCATGGATTAACACCCTTGTCTAAGCTAGTATCATATAAAGTGTCTTGATCAATCATAAAATCAGCTAGAACATTAGTAACATCATAGTTAACTTTTATCCTGGTTTACTCTCACAAAATACATGTTGCATACATTTAGTATCAAGTATAATATCCCACATAAGAAGCGAATGACCTGAGAGAGCACTAGATGTTATGGAAGACAAAAATTTAGTTTTAGTTATAAGAAATGTCACTCTTAAAAGATAAGGTGATAATCTCTCATCATTGTAATTAATCATGAAGGCAATCTCATGGTATTTAAATTGCCTATTTGTACTTTTCCCAAATTTTAAATAAAGAACAAGTATAACAATTATTAATCATGGGGGTGGTTCACCCGCCAGTCACTTGACTTAATCCAGTCAAGCCTCT